TCTGCTCAGTGTAGTCTCATCACTTGTGCCAAGCAAGCCTTTCCTTCCTGAGCTGCTTTCTATTTAGTCCAGATCTTGCCATGTCTGGAACTTTAATTACTCATCCTGGCTCTTCACAGGCTTCATGCTCTGTGTCTTTCATTTCAACCTCACATTTTTGGGGTATTTTCCTCTTCCTGGCTCCCACCCTGTCCTCGTTCTTTGATTGAGTAGATGTAGGATCTCATTAACTTTATCATAAACCTTTGCTGCCTGATAATTTCTTCTGATGTGCTCTGGTGTAGGAGAGGTGCTGATGGTGTCTTGTGATAGCCCTAATCAGCTTCGTAATCCTTCTGCTTATCTGTGATCGAGGAAACAATTGCTGCATGTCAAACCTCTGCTTTAGCAGTGACCCCTCCTAGGCAAACTGAAACTGAGAAGTGGAACCAGCTGTCTGCAAACCTGTGTGTAGGAAGTGGGCTTGAACTGTAGCTGTGTCCTGGGATAATCACCATCATCATCATCTCTGAGTTCTGTAACCTTGTGTCCAGGAGGAGCCTGAGTGTGGGTCAGTTGTTCACGGTGAAATATGTAGCAGCAGTTTGTGCAGTCCCTGCAGTTTTCTGGTGCAGAAATCCACGAGAGATGCCTTGAGTGAAATCAAGGATGGAACATAACTGCATAGTTGGGATAACCCATAGTTTATTTCAGAAATGTGCATCGTTCTTGCATCCTGTTTCCCCCCTCTCCTTTCCTGCTTCTGCAGTGGTCTTGTGTTGTTTTGTTGCATTCAAAGATGTGAGATTTCCAGCAGCTGCTCTCTGTTCCTTGCTCTAGTTTTTCTCTTGAATTTTCAGTATGAGTGTTTTGTATTTTAAATCTTCTTTAAAATATGGCATCTGTTACAGTCCTTGTGCATTAAAGGCTTTCTGTAGGGATACTGATCATATTGGGAACACCTTAATATTGGGGTGAAAGGCTGATGCTGATGAGTGATTCCTGTCCCCTCCATTCATGAGCAACTGATATTAGTAAGGCTGAAGGAAGAGTGTTCCTCTCAAGACATAAAAACTGAAAGTGTACTCTCTTGTGGTCTGTGTGGCTCTGCAATGCAGGGTTTGCTGCTTTGACAGTACAGGGACCCTCCCCATCTAAAACTCATGGACCAGCAACAGTGTGGGGTAGGAATGATCTCACCAGACTGGGAGAGAATTACTGTTAGCTGGGAAACATACAAACAAGCAAGAAAAACCTGGCTGTTTGTTCCCATCAGGGCAGGAGTGCTGCTTCTGAATGTTGGGGGTGACCAGTTGTTAGGCAAGAAGAGGAACCCTGGCTATATCAGAGCACTCTGTCATGACTAAGTGGCCCTCTGTCGTGACAGAAACTGTTAATTGAGAGCAAATCAACAGCTGAAAAGAAACAGTGCAGTAGGAAACATAAGGTCCTGACTCCTTTGGAGAAATTACTTCAGGAATAGAGAAGACTCCTCAAAATCCCTGAAAATCCAAGGATCAAGCTAGAGTACAGTACATGCATGTGCATATGAAAACCAGGTTTCTACAGACTTTGAGCTTCGCCTGAGACTTTCGGGATATCTCTGAAGATAACTTGCTTGTAGCTCACAGGATTTATCAGAAATACAAAGGTGTTTTGGTCACATTGGTAACGTGTTTGTGTGCTTGATTGAGAATGGTGGTGTTACAGTTCTGTCCCTGCTGAGGCTGTCTCATGAATGTTAAGGGGCTTTTTTGAGCAGTCATTTAGAGGATTTGATTACTGAGAACTCAGATGTCAAAACTGAGTGAGTTGGCTCATCTCCCTGTTCCCAGAACTTGTACAAAATGCAATTGCTTCGTGTTACTGAGTGTTCACCAATGCACAGCCCCAGCGTAGGTGTATTTGTACAGGAGAACTTAAATTTCTTGGTTGTTTCAGATCTTTGGATGCAATTTAGTATCCCGCAGAGGCAGCTGTTATGAAGTTCATAGAAATAAGTTATCTGCTTCCCTCTTGTATTACCAGAGTTAGTGGAGGAGAACTTAGGGAATGCCACTGTGTAAAGCAGTGCTTTGGAGCTCAGTGTGGAAAACTGACGGTTCCACGTGGTGGGAAGAGCTGAGTTCACTTTGGATGTGTCTTGAATATGGCTTTCATTAGTTATTTTGTTTAAATTGCAGATAAAACTCAGAGGAAACTTGCACAGATGCTGCTTTGGAGAACTTTCAGCCCAGGTTGCAGAGCTGAGCCTTGGTAAACCTGTCTCTATTACAGCACATTGCCATACATCTAAGTGCATAAGGTTGGTGGCCTCCAGGATCCACACACCTTGATCGGAATGCTTAGCATGTTTACCATAAGTTTTAAAATCTGTTCTTTATCTATCAGTCCTTTTATAGCTTTCTAAGTTCATATAATGGCTAATATGCAAGAGTTCATTTTTAATATTTTAATTGATTTCTTTAATCAATTTCTGAACTTGTATTTATTAAATACTTAAACTCAGTATTACCTACTCAATGCCTTTTAAAAGAAGAGAGTTTTAATGGAGAATAAATTGAGCCTTAAACAAATGGTTACTTCTGTATATTACCTCGCATCAGTGCTTATTTCTATTTGCAAGGTTTTCTCCTACAAGGTAGTTGGTCATTCTTTGAGACTTTTTGTTTACGTGTGACAGTGTCATGAAAAGATACTGAAGGCACCTCTGTATGGATGTAGTATCCCTTTTCTTGGCAAATGTAGCTGTGACAATGTGTTTGTAACTGGTCCTATTTGACAACAGGGATTACTTGGAACAGGATGCAAAGTCTCCAGCTGATGTTTCTTGCAATCTTGGGTTTCTTAATCAAAAACGACAATTGTAGCATTGAAAAATGGCAGCACACTTTTCCTTCTACTGAGTTTCTAAACTTGCTTGTTTACAAATAGCTTCTCTATGCCTTTGAAAAGGGATAATGTATCCTTCAAAATGGGCTGTCTGCATAGTCTGTCAGCTCAGCTTTGCCTGGCACAGTAAGAGACATCTAGTAGACCTCTGCACATGTAAATCTAATGCAAATAAGATCACTTTACATTTTATAGTTCCTAATATTTGTCTTTCTGAATAATATTTTAAAGCAATATTTGTTAAAGTTTTTCTTGCACTGTCACAAATTGCTTTTTAGTTTGGTTTTTTTTCCCCCAATAAACAAGTTTAATACTAGAGACAAGTTGGTGAAACAAGGGGAAAAGCACCAGGTTTCGGTGATACTAACTGCAAGCGTGCTTTAAACAGCCATTGCCTTCCTTATTGTTTACCTGATCAACATTTTCTCTGAATACTTGAAAATTTTAACAATAACACAGGTATAAAGAGCAGAATGAAATTGTACAAAGAGCAGACAAAATCTTTTTGTTCAGTTTATTAACGTGTTGCATACATGAGAGCTTTTTCTAGCAGTGGTTTAAAATGTGTAATTTTTTTTGCAGAAATTTAATAACTGCAGCTCACCTACTGCACCAAAGTTCTAGGTTTTTAGGAGCCCAGCTTTAGTCATTTGAACATGCTTCTAGAAATGTACATTCTTTCCCTGTAATAGCTAAATAACTATGAGAAAAGCTCCAGTAAAAGCAGTGATGGATATATGAGGTTAAGCAGTTGAAAACTCATTAATTGTATTCTGGATGATGGCATTTAAAACAATAAAAAGATCACCGGTACAGTATCTCAACATTAATGTGTTTTATTGGTAATAATGCAGGCTGACTTTACAGTGTTAGCAGAAATAAAGATTCTGAGTCTACATTCAGTGTTGAATTTGAATCCTGAAAAGAAGAAGACACCAGGATTTCTGCCTGATTATTGAAACACCTGATTTTTTTTCTGTGGGGTTACTTGAAGTTTTTTTTTCCCCTGTTTGTACAAACTTCATAAACAGGCTGAGGCTAATACTTAGGTTTGCACTTTAATATCAGAATTAAACCAAACCTTGTATTCAAAGTAGATTTTTTTTTAAGTGATGGTTGTTGATCTTTTTTGTAGGTTGTAAGGAAGTAATAGGAAATAAAAGTAATTCATAAAGATCCTAGTTTTCCTTTGTCTAAGGAGGAAAAAGTTGGTTGATATTGATCAGTGGTTCATTCCTATGGGTAGTTTTCAAACCAGTGTTCATTTTCATTGACCTCAGCGAAAAAAAAGAAAAAAGAAAAAAAAAACCTTAAGAAACTTGAACTAGCTTAGAGTGACAGGACTGGGAAAATGAGAGATGGTTTCTTCAGCACACTTTGGGGGGAAAAAGGGACCAAAAGTTTATTTAGGCTTCCTCAATAGTTTGCATGTGAAGTTGCTTATTAGAGTAAGAGGCTAATAATAAATGCAATATGTATTGTCTTTACTATGGCATCTGTTTAGGAGTTGTTCAAATCACTGCAGTAGGGCTCTACAAATAAAAAATGTAACCTAACATCAAGTATCTAATGTACTGTATCTTTATCAGTGATAGGTGAAATCTGGAATAACAAGTGCAAAAATGGAACAATTACCTATAATGCTTTGTAAAAAGTTTTTTCCAGTAGAATTCATTCTTGTCATTTTGTAAGACAACCCTACAGTCCACCTGTTTGTAACTTTTTTAATAAAATAGATACCTGTATTACCAAACTGGGGTGACTAGTCTGTGTTCAATTTTTTCTGGAGTGGGCTGAACTGACAAGCTGCTGCTGCTTTTTTTTTGGTTGGTTTTGGAGTTTTTAAGGTCCTGGTTGTTCTAAATGCAGTAACTGTGTCTGAATTACTGTGAGTGAGCCTTTCTGGTGCAGGGGGAATGGGGTGTACAGCTGTGCCCTGGCTGGGTGTAAAGCTCTGAGAAGAGGGAACAAGGGCTGTGGATCATCTCCTGTGCCCGGCAGGGACCCCTCCGAGCTGGGGAGCCTGTTCAGAGAAGCCACAGGGCCTCTCCTCACAGGCCAGTATGATGGTGTTTTGTTCAGAAGTGTTTCTCTTGTCCAAATCTTTAATGTTCTTGTTTTTCATACAGGCTTTTATGTGTGTGAAGATGGCCGAGTCCTGACATCACCTTGTGGTGTCTGTAGCTGCTCTCCATCCAGAGCTGACATCTCCCCACCATGCCAGCAGAGCCAGGCTCTTGGAGCTCTGCTGCAGGAGAGGCACAGGAATTTTCTAGAAAATCTTACAGCTGAGAGTGCCCAAAGCCATTTGATAACAATTATCTTAAGTGCTCAGTAAAAGCCTTGAATTTGCCAAGTCAGTGATTGTCATCTGGGCCCTGTAACAAAAAGTGCATCTTCCAAGAACATGCAGTCTTGGCACTGACCTTTAGTACTGCACTTGTAACTAAAGCTGTGTCTTAATGTTAAATGTGAGTTCAAGTTGAGGAAAAACTTGCTGCCTTGGTACCTTCAGTTCTCAGTGATGTGTCAACAGACAAAACCACGTAGCCTGCTCACTGCCCCTCCTCCAGCTGAAACAGCGTTAGCCTTATCTTGTAGGTGGGTTTTTGTGCTGTTTCTTCTTCCTGCTCACACTTCCTTTGCTGAAATGGAGCAGTAGTTTCCATCTTGAGAGGAAGATGACAGAGAAGAAGGGCAGACTGCCCTTCTAAGTGATTTTGGGCGATATGTCCGCTTTCTTGACCTTGGCAAGAGGTGGGGGTAAAGCATTCCCTCTTCTGACTGGTGTCACTGAGGGTGGGAGTTGACACTTTAGGATCAGTCTGCTTCAAGATGTAAGTAGTGGGTTCATTACTGAGTGATTTCTCATGTAGTTTAAAGGTAGTCATAATTGAATAATAATACCCTGAGTTCCTTATGCCATTAAGCCACTTGGAGGCTGGGAAGTGAATATGGATGCAACTTTTAAGCTGTGGCTTCCAGCACTGGTTTGTTTCCAGGTGACAGTATGATGTAGGCTGGCTTGGGGATTTTAAGGAAGTACATAAGATTCATGTTTAAGGCCATTATCTTTCCAAAATTTTGGTGCTGAGAGAGAACTTGGTTGGTGCTGTACAGAGTTGTGTAGCATCCTTCATAAGATAGGTGTGACAATGTCACGTTGCTCTGTCTGGTTTGGGGGCTGTTTAGATAGTGTTTCATGACAGCTTTTTCTTCGGTTTAACAGTCCTGCTATACAAGTGCCCTGCAGAAAGCTCCCAATGTCCTGCTTTCCCTGTGTAGCCACAGGACAGAGATGTTCCCCCCCGAGCAGTTGGGGAGCAGGAGCTGACTGCAGCACAGGCGTGAGGCCTCTTCCCACCCTGCTCCCCCACCCAGCACGGGTGGCACGTAACTGCATCACTGATGAGGCCAGAGCTGGGCCCTGCAGCCAGGCTGGGTGCTCTGGGGTACAAACCACCAGCCACACCAACCCCACAGCGGGGACAGCCCAGGAGGAAGCACAGAGAGGGACCCTGTGTGGGTGGAGGGTGAACCGCTGGCCACACCTCGTGTGGAGCTGCGCGCTCTTATCTGCCCCAGTAGGCTGGGCTGTAATTACAGTGTGAAACTAGGTGGAAGTGTCTAGTCTTAATTAAAATGAGATACACGGCTTCTGAAGTAATACATGTTGACCTGTGCGGGTTCTCTCTGCTGGGAAGTCGGCAGCCCGGGTAGCTGGGTTTGCTGGTAGTCACTTCGGTTGAGTGAGTCACCGCGCTCGCAGCTGGAGGAAGCGCTCACAGCTCCTGTAGCTGCAGGCGAGCTCTGTCAGGAGGAGACGTGGCCCTGTGCTCTGCACTCTGAAAGTGAAATAATGTGGCTTTTGGGTTTTGTCTCTGCCTGGCCTATACAGCTGCGAGGAACAGAGAAGGACTCTCAGCTGTAGATCAGCACAGCGTTCAACCCAAGGGTGATGTGCACCTGCTGTGGTTTGTGCACGCTGCTGAGGGCAGCACTGAGCTTACTGATCACCAGGCTGGCAGCGACGATACCGATCGACTGCAAGGTTGTAGGGGGTGAAACTTGTTCTCTGCGGGAACAGTGTATTTAGTATGGAATCAGCCTACTTACCTCTGGTGCTCTCCTTCAAAGCAGAGGTTCTCTTCAAGTCCCTCCAAAAGGTCTGGAGCAGTAACTGCAATAATTGATGGGGAAGAGTCTCTCGTGTTGCAGGAATCTGCAAAATATTCACTTGTAGGGGAGGCTTTACTGTTTGTTTTGTGTCGTGTCTGTGCTCCTTGATGTTCTGCTGGTTCTGTCTGAGTGCACTGTGACAGCTTTCTAGCAGTGACTTACTTTCTCCTAATCATATTTCCAGTGATTAGGCTTATGTGGGATTTAAGACTCCACAACACTGCCTGTTACTGGGTGACCTCAGTTGCTCTTGCCTGGGAAGAAAAGTGGTAACTGTAGCACTTCCCTCCTGGGGGCATATGTGGAAGGGTGTGTTGGACTTCCTTGGAATTGGATGCACCAGCATCATAGAATTGGACTTCTTGCAGGTAAATAAATAAGTGGGCTAGATCTTAAATAACAATGTTGAAAAATTATCAGACTTATGAAAACTGCTAGTATCTTTTACATATTTGTGAGACTATAATGTAGCTGGTTCAGTCTTAGACTTCTTGTGCTTCTACTGAAAGGCATAATTGATAAATGACTGCAGCTCAGTAAACCAGACATTCAGCTTTTTGGGAGCTTTCTGGCTCTTGAAGTTACTTTTGTCTCTTTTTTCCTACTGTTAGGCTGACTAGTTCATACAGTTTTATATTTTTAGAAGATCTGCCTTGACATTAGACTTAAATTATCTGATCAGCCCAGAAAAGAGAAAATATATTTGCTGTTTGTGACATTCCTTAAGGGCTACTTGTCTTTTTGGGAATTGACACATGGGATGATCAATTATCAGCTTGGGATTCGTCCTACTGCTGGGATAGATCTTAAAACCTTTTTCTTAAAATCAAATAAAAAATGATTGTGTGATCGGCAACAGCCTGGCTGCTATGGGAAAACAAGAAGAAATAAACTGAATTTTCAGCAAAGCTGATTTATGCTGGAAAAAAGAGAAATCTGCTCACAGAACACAGCTGAAGTGCTGGAGGAAGCTGCAGCTACATGGGGTGGTGGAGAATTTTCAAAGATGATATTGGATAAGCACTGCTGGAGGAAGGAGTGTGTGAGGCTGTACAGCTCCTGCTTCTGTACACTGGGCTGTGTCGTGGGATCTCTGAAGTCCCTTCCAGCCCTGTGTCTCTGCAACCACAGTCACATCACTGCTCCTGGCATTATTTTCCATTCATTGTTCCAGGAATTAGCACAGCCTTGCCAAATGCTCTGTGTCTAATCTCAGTAATGCAGATGTATTTTTAATAGGTTAGAAGAAAGGTTTTAGCTGCAGGGCCTGCCTGATGTCAGGCTATGGTTAGAAGTACCTTGGTGTCCAGCTGGGTTCCTTTCCTTCTAGCTGTCTATCCTGTTCAGTACCTGTAGCTCAGCATCTTAGTCCATCTAAATGGTTTCCTCTTGGGACCGAATTTAATAATCTAGGAAGGTTTTATGAATGTACCCCTGAAACCTTGGGATAAGCACGATGTAGGAATGTTTCCTGTTCTTTGATATATGTCTGTTTTGTAGCTGCCAACATCTGCCAGAAGGCCCTGAAAGATGAACCACAAGGTTGGGATTACCTTTGACCACTACAAAAGTACCAAGCTCGCAGCTTCAGGTGGGTGTTGCTCTCTTGTCCTCCCTCCACTGCCTGCTATGAAGAGTGGCTTTGGCACACCTTTTGCTCTGCTGTGAGCTGGATACCTGGAATTTGGCACACCTTGGTAGGACTGAAGTGTGATGAGGGTCTTTTGAGGAAGAATAAAAGGAAAAGACAGGAGTGATGGAAGAGAGCTACCTGAGAGGGAAACATTAATAAAACTCAGGCTTAAAAATCCATATGGTGAGATGGGTGTGATCCATTGGCCTGGAGGTACCTGGAGAACACATGCATTGCTTTGCCTAGATGTAATCAAGGCTTACTCAACCAGAGTTAGTTGTCTTGAGCCAAGAGGGAAACCACATCTGTGGTGAAAATAAGCAATATAGTTCATTAGAACTCCATCCTTTCCACTAGGATTCAGCCTCTTCACCGGGCATTGCAGACTCAATTTGGCAGCTTCCTTAGACAAAGCCATTGGCTGTAGGATCCTTTCTGATGCTCAGCAAAGGTTTTCACCATCCTGGTCTTTAATTCTCTTCTGATGGGTTGCTGCTGCTTCTTCTGGTCTCGTAGCTCTCTGTTGCCAGGGCTGCATGAGCACACGAGCAGGGCACTGTCCACCTGCCAGGCAGATTTCTGTGCTGTGGTTCATGGGCTCCATGATTTTTCTGCTGAGGCACAGTCTAGGACAGATCTGCTGGTGAGTCATGGAAAGCCTCATGGTGGATGGGTTTGTCCTCCTGACAGCACTCACAAGGAGCAGGAGCCCGGGCATCCAAAGGCCTCGTCACAGGACTGCAGGAGTACAGGTGAGAGCTCACAGTGCTTTTACCCTGTTGGTGTGGGGATATGTGTGAGTGGCCCGGGAACAACTTGTGTGAAACAAATCAAGGACAGCGTGGACCGGCCTGTGCTGTGTTAGTGCTGTACAGAGCTGGTGAGGTGCATCTCCCCAGCTGGAAATCCCTGAATGCTATGAGATGCCCAAATCCTTGGAGGGATCAGCGCTCCTTTGACTCGATACATTCATGAGGCTTTACTTTTCTGTGTAAATTGCTTTCCTATGTCTTCAAAGTGACCTGTTTGAATTAAACATCACAGAGTGCTTTTCTTATAGCTGTGCCAGCAACAGAGTGCCACTGGCATATTAAAAATGAGATAATGTGGTCTGGATATCAGGAGTCGGGGCTGCTATTTAGTTTCTTGTACAGCTTATGCTGTCATTTGCATTTGCTTGTAGCAAGCTGCCTTCTGCAGTGCCTGGCAATAGCTTCTAGACAGCATATAAAATCTGAAAAAGGAAGAAAAGTCAACAATGCACATGGATGCACCCTGGAATGTGTGATTGCTGGACTGAGCTGCTCATCCCTGCACGCTGAATCCTTTCCTGCGTTTGTCGTTGGGCACCACCAACACCACGAGAGGGAGCGTGGAAGCAACGAGTGGTTCATCCTGGCAATGGTCTGGCTTAGAGTCGGGCTCTTCTCCGGCCCCGGGAGTCAAACACGATTCAGCACAGGCTGAAAACAGAATAGAAATGGAAATAAATTTGTATTTCAGGGCTTTGTTAGCGTGGTGTGAGAATATTTTAAGAGGGTGCCAAAG